AAGCTTGAATCGAATCAAAACCAAGCAAAATCATGAAAACCCTAGTCTTGGAACTTTGAAGTATTCATCTTTGGCTTAAATGGATGATAAAAATTTTGTAAAAATTATGTAAGGAATAGAAATGATGTAGGAAGTATTCTACAAGCCTTATAAAAATTTAGGGATCATTTTGTAATTTTTGAAAAGTTGGGGATCAAATTATAATTTTAGAAAAGTTGTGGATTATTGTGTAATTGTTAAATATTTTATTTAATGTGCTAAAAATTAATGTTTGAGTGTTGAAATTGAAGCTAGGATGTGAAATTGGATTATTTTGGAAAGCTTGTAAAAGTTGAGGTTGAGAGCTTAAGTGAAAATGTTATGTGAATTTGGGATAAAAAAGGAACTTTAATGTTCAATTGGAAGTATTAAGGTCAACATTTATGTTGTGACATGGAAATTATAACGAATAAGCATCAAAAAAATTGTTAGGAATTTTATTTTCCAAAGTACGCCTATGTTAGTAAGATTCTAACATTTGGTTTGAATTTGTATATGTTTGGTAATGATGCTTATTTAGATTATGTGCTTGAAATCAAGATCAAAGCTTATGAAAATCTTAAGGATAGAATGTGAAATCCTAAGAGAAGTTTGCAAGCTAAGGACACCAGGTGAGTGTAAATTTAATTTGTACTTATGTTATCGAACAAACATTGGCTTGCGATGAGCCAGTGACAGAGTTACTATGGTAAGGAGTGACTCCTAAAATGTTATGTGATTTGTGATGCATGCATATATGTGCATTTTGTGAGCTAATAAAATTAGTGAACAAGTTGAAAATGTAAATTGGTGAAAGCTTCTTACAATTTATGTTCTAGAAAATAAGTTTAGAAAATCACCATAAATTCTACAAATTTTATTAGAGGATGATTTTTATACCATTGGACTAGTATACCAACCTATTTTTGTTTATAACAAACGGAAACTGATTTTGAGGTGTATACCAAAAGATATGATTTTTAACCGAGGATAGGTCAGAAAATATGGCAGCAGATTTTGCTCAAAACAGATTTCACCAATTTACATTTTCATGAGTGCCTTATATTTTTATTTGATATTATGACAAATTATGGTAAATTATATGGATATATAATTATCATGATCATATATGATATTTATCATGAATGATATTTCGGGTATGAACTGCCTAATGTTAAATTATGATAATATACTTTGCCATGGATGGAAAAAATAGACTATATGCCCAAGTCATTGAGGGACATGGTATAGTTGGCATGCCATATAGTCTAACAGCAGATACATATCGATTAAGTACTTCGGTACATATGGTGGCCACGACCTTATGTGTAATGCACTTCGGTACATATGGTGGGCACGACCTTATGTGTATGCACTACGGTTCATATATTTGACTCAAATACCCAGAGTCCTCGGGGTTTAAATTGGGCTATGGTTTATTGGTTAATAAATGATAAACAAGCAAATAAGCTTACGAGCTTATGGGATAAATGGCAAGTATATTGGTAATAAACTTTATATCCGATTATATCATGTTAAATTATGGTAACATGGTAGTAATGCAAGTAAAGTGATCACATTGCATTGAATATTATTACTTATTTATATTTATATGTTGCATTGCTTTGAATATTTATATGATTGCCTCACTAAGTGTATACTTAACTTGTGATGATTTTCACTCGTAGGAAAAATGAAGAAAATGAGTAAGGAGCTGAGTTTGACATCAATCACCAAGGAAATATTTACATGTAACACTGATGACATCATACTGTGTTCTAAAAGTCTTTGTTGGCATGTAAACGAGAATGAAATGTCTACAATTTCCTTATATAGTTAGTATTAAATATAATTAATAGTATGAATAAATAAATATTATGAAGTTAAACTATGCTTAGCAAAAATTAATTTGGGTTTTAAATCAAACGTGTTAGGCGGTCTTATTTATTTTACGAAAATAGAGCAAAACTAACTATCACTACTTGAAACTGGTTTTGAATTGGTAACCAACAATATTATATTATGATTTTTCTCTGAATAATTATTTTATAATAATTGTTCAAGTCATGAAACTTGAGATGTTTGAAATGAAACAAAATTTTACTCATTTCAATTAAAGAAATATTTTGAATTTATGATGTGGCATCTGTAACTCGTATTGGTTCACGTATACGAGTTATGGGTGTTACAATAAATTACCGTTTTATCCTCATTGTATCAAATTACCAAGTTTTCTCCCGATAGCAAAATAACTAAAATGCCCCTGATGGCCTATATAATGGAATCACTCTAGTTATATTTGAATCTTAAATTATTCTGATGTATAAGTTCTTGAATATTTTCCTAATGTACTTGAATCCTATATGATCCCGAAACATTAATTTCTAAAAGTTTCATCAGTTTCGTTAGTAATCGAACCCTTTTAATAAGGACATCGTTCCTGAAATCTAATCAATTTTACGTAAGTTCATGTTTTCTATTCATGATAATTATCAAACACCTCCGAAAAATATATGGATCCTCTAGTGTGTTCCCTTGACACATATATTTTTCTTTGATTTTTAAAAGTATGATTTTGATATCTAAAATAAAAATTAGATCTCTGATCTCTATTTTCTGATACAAATTATATCTAGCTCTGGATTTCTAATATTACTAGTTTATATTGACCCGATCTATATTGGGTACTATTTGGGATATGTTATGGAGTTCTGCAAGTTAAGCTTCGATCAAGCTGGTAATTCCTTATAGACCTAAGACGACCTTTGGGTTGGTTCCTGAGCTCAATGGGCCTAGTGGTAAGACCTTACGGACCCTAAGGCACTTCCTTATGGTGGCTTTTTTGCTTTGTGCATTGGGTAAGTCCTTATGGACCTAGGGGCACTCCTCTCAGGTGGCTCACTTGCTTTGTGCATTGGGTAAGTCCTTATGAACCTGAGGGCACTCACCTCAGGTGGCTCTTATGTTTCAGCTAGGGTAAGTCCTTATGGACCCAAGGTGTTCCCTTAGGTTGGCTCAATCGCTCAATAAACCTAGGGTATGTCCTTATGGATGCAGTTGTGGGGAACGACATATCGTTGTTCGGTTGGAGGGTATTACAGTGATTTTAAAAGTCTTTTTTTATTGAAATAAACTGCTACCACTGTTTTTGAACTATGAGTACGCTTATTTCTAGTTTCATAGGAACACACTAGACACCAGTTCTCAATCTCCTGAATCTGATGCTCTGAATGTTTTCTTTGGACTGTAGGTTTCCCATCTATACTTGAAGAATAAATTAAATAAATCCATGCTCATCACGAAAATCATAGATGACTAAATCAATAAGAAATTTTATGTTTTGCTATATATCTGTTTGTCCTTTAGCATCATCTAGTAGTTTTGTATTACCGAGTTTTCCCAAAGCTCACTTTGTTACTCACCATTTCATGTTAAAGAAGTTGATATTGTCAAGTATCGACATCAGTAATAGGAGTTACTTTGGCGTTGCTTGCAGAATACGGTATAGATGCAACTAGGGGCATGTAGGTCACATTGTTTTTATATTAAATCTGAAACTTATTTTTTTAATTTATTTATTATTGAAATTTGTTTTAATGTGTAAATGATCTCTGAATTTGTACAATTTATTTATAAAATTGTTTACGATTTAAATGATTTGACAAAATCTTTATTTTTCGTATTTTTACTGTGGGTTGTTCCTGTGACACCTCATATCGGATCGAGTCACCCGTATCGGTTTGTGGTTGTTACAGACCCAAAAAAATTAACATATAAAGTTTAATGAGTAAATTAAAAAAATCGAAAGTACAATGAATAAAATATGAGAGAGAGTAAAGTTCAGTTACCAAACATATAATTTGCCCTAATAAAAAAATCTTTGGGTGTAATCACAATCCCATTAGCCCTTACATGGCCATGTTGCTTCAACTATTTGAGTGTTTACTCGAAATGAACCGCCGAGAATTCAAGGACACCAAACGAATAATATGCCAAAGTGGACACACCCAGCAGTGGGATGGGCAATAGCAAATTCAGATGGAGCAGTACAAGGCAACAACCAAGATGCTTCGGCTTCGGCCGGAGGTCGATTGAGAGACAAACATGAAAATTAAATTTTTGGATTTACAAAAAAAACTGGAAAAGTGTTTGGTTCTTTTAACTGAACTATGGATGATATACAAATTATCTATCACACTCGAAGATTCAATATTCAAAAACTTAAAGTTGAGACATACAATACTAAGATAGTGAAAATTGTTAATACAAAGACCAGCTCACTATAAGGTTATGCTGTTGCGAAGATGATAGATAGATTCATCCACAAAAATTGAGAAATAATAGTCAGAACTAAATTAAATGAATCATAAGAAATCTTTCGACAATTATTAAACATATCTTTTGAATAGAGTAAATGCATTATGAAAAAAATCATGGGCTTACACTTAACGTGTAATCACTGTCCTTCTTTTATGGAAAAAAAAGAACTCTGAATTTATACAAAAAAATTAATAAATAATAAATGAAATGCATACTAGTAAATTAACAAGAGAATAGAAATAATAAATAGAGTGTTAGGACTTGAGCGACCAACTATAATGTGTTAAAGGCGTCCTGCTGTAACTAGAAAAATAGAATTGAAAAGTGTGTCCTTAATAGGGGTCAGCTTCACATGCTTGGGACCAAGGGGCAGGTTAATCAACCTATTTTCCTTGACTTTATGACATTTAAAATATTAATAATAAATCACACTTTCTGACCCATCCACCTAATCTTCCCTACTCAGTTGAAGAAATTGTAACCATTTTGGTGTGTTCTATAAAACATTTAAGATAATATACGAAATATAGAAAAATAAATCTTTTTATTAATTATACTTCCAACCCAATTCTCATTAGGTGCTATATCACCAACGTTCCATCCTTCTCTATAAATCTAGCTCTCCTACTGAACCTCACTCACTTAAACAATACACACTCAGAAACGATGAAGATTCCTTTCTTCATACTTTCTGTTTTCCTCCCACTCCTCTCCGCCGCCTCGAAGCACGATTCACCGCAAGATCTGCTGCGTTCATCGTGTGTCCATGCAAGCTACCCGGGGCTCTGCCTCCGCACACTATCTTCCTACTCTGGCCCTACCAACACCCCACGAGACTTAGCCAGAGCCGCTGTCAAAGTGAGCCTCACCCGTGCCCGCAAAGCGTCGAGTTACTTGACGTCTGCGAGCGTGACGGGAAAGAGCAAGAGGGAACGAGCTGCACTGAGTGACTGTGTGGAGCAGGTTGCCGATTCGGTGGACGAGTTGAGCAGGACACTGGGTGAGTTGAAGCGCTTGAGAGGAGAAACGTTTGAGTTCCAGATGAGTAATGCGCAGACATGGGCGAGCGCGGCATTGACGAGCGAGGACACATGCCTCGATGGGTTTGAAAGAGTTGACGGAAAGGTGAAATCCGATGTGAAGAAGATGCTCATGAACGTGGCTAAAGTTACAAGTAATGCTCTGTATATGATCAATAGGCTTAACGAAAGCCACGACAGACACCAGTTGAATCCCTGATGATCAATGGCTTTGATTTAGCTTTCTTACAAATGTTTATGTTGTTTCTAAATCATGTCGTGATTGTAATGTTTGCCTGGTTTCAACGTAAGCAGAAACATGAAAACACTTCGTGGTTCAGTGACGCAAATTAACTAAATGACCAAAATCTTCATTGCAGCTTCAAATTGAGGAGAAATATGAGATCTTAAAACACAACAACGAACTCTAAACATCATCCTTCCAGCTTAACTACACCCACACAGTCAGGTGTGTTATCTTAATCCCGATAACAATCCTTTTCCAGGACCGAATATTGTCGACTGACAAGGCTTCCCTGATTCCTCTTCATAATGTAGCTGACCTATATTAACAGTTTGCCAACTAAACATCTGCTGGAATTTACAGTACGTTAGGAATTTGAGAACGAAAAAATAATCAAAATGATGTAAACATAAAATAAGACATGTACTAAATATGAGATTTAACGTGACGAGATGAATAATAATCCATTATAAACATAGAGAACGTGAGGATTATAAATATATGATATCACATGTATCCTAGAACCCGATATAGATTGTTAAGGATTTAATTAGCTGAAGGCTGCTAACACGTGGCGTGGAGCAGTTGGGTAGTTCAGCTTCTGTTGAAGTTGTTAGGAGCAGTTCTTTTCTTAACTACATGCAGTTGCTTGCACGTGAATTTGTATATAAAACCCCCTTTGTTATCTTCAATAAGATGAGTGAACTTCTTCTATTCTTAGAATGTTGTGTTCAGGATTAAGACTCAAGGGATGTGTTACTTAGAGGAAAAGAACATGATGGTCTTTACGAGTTTGAGATCAATCGGAGCTTGCGTGGTTCTGCTTATGCTAAGGTGTATGTAGCTGAGGCCTCTACAAGTGCTTCTGAGTTGTGGCAGCATCGGGCACCCAGCTTTTGATACCTTAGTCAAAGTGTGTAAAGAAATCAATGTAAATGTTTCGAATGAGATAAATAAAACATGGGTTGCTTGTCACATAGGAAAAAACCACAAGTTTTCATTCCCTATTTTTGATGTGTATGATGTTTCGTTTCATCTAGTTTAGACGGACATGTGAGGATAACCACACGTTTCTTCCAACGGTTTTTGTTATTATATTATGTTTGTAGATGCTTCACTAGACACATGTGGGTGTACCTCTTGAAGAACAAGAGTCAAGCTATTTCTTGTCGTAACCGGTTTTCGTCCGGGCACGAATTTATTTGTTTGGCGGGAAAAGTGATGTGAATAAATAGTTTTGAAAATAATTTGGGAGTCGCCATCGGCCTTTTGGGTCAGGTAGGTCGAATACCTAAAAATTATTTTTTTAAAAGAGTTTTAATAAAACACCAATAAAAAAAATAAACTGATCTGCGTTTATAACCAAAAATTCATTCTTTTTAATAATAAAAAGGGATTCGTGGTCGGTTACGTTTAGGGAAGGATTAGCACCCCTACAACGCCCAAAATTGGTACTTTTTAATTATAAATTGTCTCTATTATTAAAATTTTAAAAATTCAAAAATATATTTAATTTATAATTCTATTATTATAAAAAATATTTATTTATTTAAAAATATCTGAAAAGAACTTCTAGGTGCCTTAAGACAGCTCTTTTCTTTGATATTGATAAATTTTAAATTATATTGTTTACTTTTTAATTTTAAAATATCATAATAGGACATCCAGTTGTATTAAGACTGTCCTTTTCTTCGATATTAAAAATAAATATTTAAAAATTACTATTTATTATATATTTATGGATATAAAAATATTTAACAATATAATAAAATAAAAATACAAATACTACTAAAACAATATATTTAAAAACAATAAATGAAAACATATAAAATAATTGACTAAATTATAATAAAAATAAAATTAAAAATCTAATTCATAATTAATCAAAATTATAGGGATTTAATATGTTATTTCCTTATTTTATGTATTTGGTGACTAAAATAAAATTATCTAAAATTCGGGTATTTAGAAACAAATAAATTAAAAATATAAACTAGGGATTAAAATATTATTTATTAAAATTAAGGGATTAAATCTGTAATTTATCCTAAATATATTATTTTAATATGAAGGACTAAAATAAAAGAAATTAAAATTCGAAGACTGAATTAAAAATATTATAAATTTAATTTAGTGACTAAAATGGAATTCTACAAAACTTGAAGGGTCACGGACGGGGTTTACTAAAACGCACAGTTTCACTATAAAACGGCGTCGTTTCATCTCGGGTATAAATACCCTATAACCGGCTTCTCCCTTAAGCCATTTTCTCATTTCTTCATTTCTTTTTCTCTCTCTAATAGAGAGAAAATTTTTCTCTCCTCTCTCTCTTCAAACTCCGCCTGGAGGGAGCCTGATTACAGGCCGGTCGTCGTATCCCGGTGTCGACGACCACCGCCAGCCACCGTGAATGGTGGCCGGAATTTGGAAAATAGCTTAAGCGAAGCCCTATTTCTCCTTAAGCACAAATCTAACTTCTATTTCTCTAAAATCCCTCTCAATAGCAGTAGATCTAAACAAAACCGAAGGGTTCTACCTTCGCTTAAACGGCGGTTTGGCAACGTTTGGCTTTCGAGGGCAACAAAGGCTTCAAGGGTAAGTCTCATTCTTCTCTTTTTCTTTGGTTTGCTGCTGTGGTTGCTATTCGTTGTTGTTGTATCTCTCCCTCTGTTTTTTTTCTTGTTGTTGGCTGTCTGTTTTGGTTATCTCCGATTCTTCCTCCTTTTTCTTCCTTTTTGTTGCAGGTGTGATCGATGGCTTTTATAGCCATCGATGATGTGGCTCTCGGACTGGTCAGAGGAATGAAGTTTGGTGAGTCACCGAGCTACATGGTGACTCACCATAGAGCTCGACATGTGGAGGGGCAGTTGGCTTCTGGAGGCTTCTGGCGAAGCGGCGACTTCGTGGCGTGGCACTGGCAGCTGGCTGAGACGCCGACGTGGGGTGGCTGGACTGCATCAGGGCCTTTGGATCTACGGCGGCTGGGACTTAGATACAAACCCTAAATGGGTTTAGGGTTACATATTTGGGCTTTTGGGTTGGGCCGGATTTGGCCCGTTTGTAATAATTAATAATAATATTAGTAATAAATAATAAAATTAGTAATTATAATTATTATAATAATAATAATAATAATAATAATAATAATAATAATTAAATGAAAAAATGAGTATCTTCAGCTGCCCCTCTTTGCTCATTCTTGTGTTAACAAGAATAGAGCAAAGACGAAAAGATAATAAGTTTTTCATTTGACTTAACTTGGATCATAATGGAGATATTGAATAAATTCTTCTCTCTCTCCAGATGAGTTCCTCTCATTATGAACTTTCTGCTGGGGATGATGATGACCTCCTTTTTTCTGTGATAGAGTCATTCAAAAGGTTGAATAAGCTCTTGATGAGTTCTTCTCATTATGAACTTCTTCCTCCTTCTTCAGATGACGAGTTCTTCTCATTGTGAACTCTACCTGGCAATGTTGATCCATCAAATGATGAATTCAAACAAAAGGTTGAACAAATTCTTCTCATTATGAATTTCTTCTTCCTTCTTCAGATGAGTTCTTCTCATTATGAACCTTCTCTGGCAATGATAATCCATCAAGTGATGAATTCAAACAAAAGGTTGAACAAATTCTTCTCATTATGAATTTCTTCTTCCTTCTTCAGATGAGTTCTTCTCATTATGAACCTTCTCTGGCAATGATAATCCATCAAGTGATGAATTCAAACAAAAGGTTGAACAAATTCTTCTCATTATGAATTTCTTCTTCCTTCTTCAGATGAGTTCTTCTCATTATGAACCTTCTCTGGCAATGATAATCCATCAAGTGATGAATTCAAACAAAAGGTTGAACAAATTCTTCTCATTATGAATTTCTTCTTCCTTCTTCAGATGAGTTCTTCTCATTATGAACCTTCTCTGGCAATGATAATCCATCAAGTGATGAATTCAAACAAAAGGTTGAACAAATTCTTCTCATTATGAATTTCTTCTTCCTTCTTCAGATGAGTTCTTCTCATTATGAACCTTCTCTGGCAATGATAATCCATCAGATGATGGATTTGAACAAAAAGTTGAACAAGTTCTTCTCATTATGAACTTCTTCTTCCTTCTTCAGATGAGTTCTTCTCATTATGAACTCTCTCTGGAAATGTTGATCCATTAGATGATGGATTTGAACAAAAAGTTGAACAAGTTCTTCTCATTATGAACTTCTTCTTCCTTCTTCAGATGAGTTCTTCTCATTATGAACTCTCTCTGGAAATGTTGATCCATTGAATGATGGATTTGAATCTTTGCTAAAATCCTTGAAATTCCTGTCAGAATTCAACATGGATAAAATGAATGAAAATGCACCTATTTTTGCAAATGTCTAAATATGATGCATGAATGTTTATGCAATCTTCATTTGACTTCAAAGTGGTGAACTCGGTTTTCCTCCACTTCATCATTTATTGCCAGGTTCACCTCTGGATATCAGTGTAGCAACTTATGCTATCAAGCTTGAATTTCTGAAGAACCATATGATCAACTTGTATCTTTATGTCTTCTTTGCTTTATGAAAGTCTCAGAAGAATTGTTTCGTTTGTGGAACTCTTATCGTAATCAGAACTATGACCTTGATGCCCCATTTTGTCTTGGATAAAACCAATTTTCTTTGCTTGGAGTTGTGCAGAAATTCGATAAAGCTTTCATCTTTGAAAAGAGAATCTGTCATCTTTAAAAAGGAATCTACCATCTTTGAAGAGTGTAGATGTAGATATGCCTGACTCAGCGGGGATTAATTAGGAGAGTAAAGTCTGTTCTGATTTGACTCTTGAAACACATCATAAGGAGAATTTATCTCAATTCATTTCATGTCTCCATATTTAATTGGTTCCCGAACAAAGCAACTTGGACTATATAATATGTCTCCATATTTAACTAGTTTCTTGTGGTTAAAATTTCAGCTCTCCATTTGCGGGAAAAAAAATCTTCATCATATCTCATCTTATAATCTTGAAGTTGAAGAAGACAAACTTCATCTTGGATCAAAAATGGAAACCATATGATCACAACATTGGTTCAACATCAGAATAACTGGTTCGTAAAACATTT